GTCTCGTCTGGTTTGCTTTCCAGCCACGTGATGAAATCCAGTGCAACACCCTTCTCCCTTGGCTCTAAAATGCATCAAAATTCACCTTGCATAGGAAGTAGATAAAGGAACGCATGTGGAGCGTGCTGTCCTTTGACATGGTGTGCCTAGAGCTCGTCTTTGCCCTTAGAGATGGAGGAAATCCAGACACATCCCAATAGCCTATGCTATTGGCCACACTTTGAGAGCTATTTACCCAGGGAACAATGCCTGCTGCCTAAAACCTCTGTCTGTGATCTCATAAGCTAATCAGAGCCAGCTATGATCAGTAGTTGGATGGAAAGACTCCAGAAAAAATAGCTCAGTCTGTCATAAGTCATCTCAGTGATTTGTTGGTAGTACCTGACTCTCACTCAGAGTAAGGAGTCAGTGCCCCAGAGTGGTGCCTGGGAGCATTGTTTAGGCAAAGAATCTTTTCTTTTTCTCACATCTTTTTATTTATTAACAAATTTTGTGTATGTTTGAGATTTACAACATGTTATTGAATATATAGAGGTAGTAAAATGGCTACTGTAGTGTCACAGATTTACATATCTATGTAACTATTTCACATAGTTGCTTTTTTGTGTCACAAGGAGATTAATAAATCTCCTAATACAATTTTATTAACTGTGGTGCTGGACATAGATCTGTAGACAGTTTCATCCTACATATCTGCTACTGTGTATCTTTTGACCTCCTTCTCTCATATCTTCCCTCATCCCCCCTGTCCTGGTAACAATGGCTTTATTCTCTTTATATTTGACTTTTTTTTTTAAGATTTCATATATAAGTGAGATCATGCAGTATTTTTCTTTCTGAGTTCGGTTTATTTCACATAGGATCTTCTCTTTTAATTAAGCCTCTTGAAGACTTTTTAAACAGAAGTTTGACTATATTCCATAAGTATGGTGGAATATTCTCATGGATGCACACAAAACTTATCAGAATATTGCTCCAAATAAAAGCTAAAGCAAGAAATATTTGTTGGGTTTCCAGAATGAGCACAGTACCATGCTAGACATTTAGCTAAGTAAGTGACACCTATAGGCATTCGAAATATACATGATTGAGCATGGAGTTTCTAACAATAGCATTTGGCAATAGCTGAAATCAGACTTAAAGAAGACTCTGAATCTTTTCAAATTACTTCAAGAATTTCAAATGGACACACTGCTAGCAGGTCCTAGTCAACTGAAGATTTCTATAAACCAAGATTGACAGCAATAAGATATCACAGTATTAGCTACACCCCAATCCATTTACAGTTCTGTATAGTCAGAGAAAGGCACATCTAGGAAAAGTCAGAATGCAACTTGGCCTACAATTGGTAACTAAATATGAAAATTGGAGTGAATCTAAATATAACAAGGAAACTGAACTGATAGGTTACCTGCTGGGTTGGATAATATTGGAATCATTTGGCTGGTGATGCTAATCGGTCACCATTTTGTTTTGAAATGGAAGCCCAGTAATCAAATAAGTTTAGTAAAATTTCATGTGTTTATAGAGATCTAGTCAAAATAATTCTATATTTTCCTATTTAAGCATCCTAGTGGAAGTCATGTTTTGCCTTTCTAATTGAATATTTGCTTGTATGTTTGTGATACAACATTTCTGAATGAAGGAAAAAAAAACACTATCATACTTCTGATTTCTGTAGGTATTAGAGTTCCTGTTTGTCTCTATGTTATCCCAAGACCCCAATTTGTCAAAAAAAAAAAATGTTTGTACTATTGTGTATCTGTTACCTGAATCAGTAGAATTATCAAACTCTGAAAATCTTATCACCTATGGATAAAAAGAAAAACACTGGTTTAGATGAAGAATTCTGATGAAAGCCATTCATCAGCAACTCTAGGAAAATTGCTTAGCTATCTTTGGCTTCTTCACACACATACTCCCGCCAACCCAAAATGAGGATATACAGTACCTGCTACCTACCTTACAGGGTTGTTGTGAGAAGCAATCCAATCTGTTAGAATGGCTGAAGATAACATCACCAGCTTAAGAGTCCACGAGTCTCAGTTTGAGCTCTGGCACTACCACTTACTCTGTTATCTTCAACAAGTAACTTAACTTTTAAGCCTTAGTTTCTTCATCTGTCAAATGGGGATAATGATAATACTTATCTCATACACTCATTGAAAGGATTATATAATAAAATATATGTAAAGCACCAGGCATCTAAGAAAAGAGTAAGATTGGTGAGCACTTGTTGTGTTCCAGGTATCTGATAACATGGAAGAAAGTGTTCATAGGCTAGAGAGCCACGTAGTAAAAGCCAAACCTGTGAGCTTCACCATTCCCAATCTCCACTCCCATGTGGCCTTGCTTCCTGTGGGCCAAGCAGAGAGTTCTTACCAAGGATGCTAATTTTGAGGGATAGGGAAGAGGCCAATTTACATGATCTACTGCTCTAGAGGAGCTCATTCTGGGGTAAGGCACTATGCCTGGAAGGAGAGCTGAGGCTCAGGAGTTGGACTTGGTTGGGGCTCAGAGGAAGCAGGGCTGTTATCTTGCATTGTGTATACACTTTGGAAGAACTTCATCACAAGAGTCCAGGACTCTGAGCCAGAGGAATGAGAAGGAAGAAGCTCCTTACCCATGTCCTTCCCCTCCCTCAAGTCAGCTCCACCTTTTGATTGCTACTGCCTTCAACTAACAAAGAAATTATATATTATTTTATTATTACAACTATTCTTAAAATTCTCAGCATAATTGCCATTGTTATTAACAAATAAGTGAAGTGGAAATAAATCAGAGAGGATAAAATGCTTGCCATATTTAGCAAGTAGTATGGCCGAGGCTCAAACCTAGAGCTGTCTGTCTCCAAGCTCCTGTTTCCAATTACTATGTTGCTCTCTGACTTAATTATTGACAACTAGAGCTCATATTCAACAAAGCATGAGTTTAAAACCCATGAGTCACACTTTCTTGTACCCACCCAGCACCCACGCCAGTGAAAATCAGAGAATAACAATCAGTACATGCCATATGAATATTTGTTGACTCTCACTAAGACCTCTTTTCAAGATGATGAGAAAGATGCTATCCAAATCCATTTAGCTTACTCATGCCAATTCTGTTAGTTTAACAAACTATGATTTTTAAATAATAGAAGCCTATCTAGCCATTTTTTGAGGAAGCCACTGAGATCTGCACTTTCCCAAGTGCCAGTGGTTCCTCCATTTCTTTAGAGCCCTGATGGCCTCTGTCCCTCCTGCTCACAGGACATGATATGAGTGAGGACAGAAAGAAAGCTTAGGTTAAGGTGCATGGAGCACCTGCATTGCTGGGTCTGGGCCTGGGCAGCCTCACCTCACACTGTTCTTCCCGGCCCCAGGAAAGCTGTCTTCTTTTCTTCCCTTGCCTCTAGGCTGCCTTCCTCAGAGCAACAAAGTAAGGCCTAGACAGTTTCCTCGGTCCTTCTGGGATCTTTCCAACTGATATGAGCTTGTGCTCACTCTTGAAACCTAAAATTAATAACATAGGTTGATAATCCACATGGAAACACAAATGAAAATGTGCCATGTTGTAGAACTGAGTGAACTTTAACCTTGTGAGAATTTCTTCATTATTATTTCAAGATACATTCTCACATGGTATTTTTACATTACAAAGAAAGGTTTTCTTAAGATTAATGTAATTCAGGGTTGGAGGTGTGGCTCAAGTAATAGGAGCAGCTGACTAGCAAGTACAAAGCCCTGAGTTCAAAGTCCCATACTGCCAAAAAAATAGAGTAATATAAGTTATTGTAATTAATCCTCTGAAATAAAAAGATGAAGTTGAGTATAGAATTATAGCTAATTGGAGTTTTTAAATCAGTTATCAGTAAAAACTGTAGGATTTATTATAGAAGCAAGTTAATTTAAATGTACTATGTTAATTGCGTAACTCTAGCAAGTTGGATGAAAAGCCTTCATTGGATTTGCTCTTTTCTGTCCTGCTAAAGTAGCCTGAATTGCACATGATAAGAAAACACCTTGAGTCTGAAAACACATCAGATTGCTGTGACCTCACCAGCAGCCTGCTCCAGTAAAATACCAAACAAATGTCACATCAGTACTTGCCTCATGGGAAAAAAAAAATTAAACACTGAATATTTTCCCATATTTACTATTCAGTCAGAATATGAAAGGGAAAGATATCTTTTGTGTTCTGTTTCCAAAAAGAAGCAATCTAAAAAAAGAAAAAAACCTATGTGCATGTTTGTAATTGTATTAAATGAATTGTAAACCTTGGAGCAAACTGCACGGAGCCTTTTCTGAAGGCAGCAGCCAGTTGCATTCTAGGTATTCCAGCTTTGGGTAATCAATCAGAGGGCTAGAAAAGAATAAATTAAATGCAACCTGGTAGTCCCACACCATTGATGGATAAAGTATCACATGTATGTGATAAATTATCCACCACAGCAAGTGATAAATTATCCACCTTTTTGAGGACATATATAATTGACAATTATTTACCAAGGGTCAGTGTCTAACCTAGCACTGGTTTGCATCATTGAGGCAATGGAATTGAGATAATTTCAACATTAGCTTTAGAAAAAAAGTAGTTAGAAAATTAAATATTCTGGATTCAGGAGCCAAATATAAATTCCTTTTGGATGATGCATAGTAATGGATTACTAATTTATCTATATGGCTAATCCCCTCCATTCCAATGGATAATCCAGAATTGGATGTAGTTATTTACATGTTGAAAGTGGTAATGATTATTACATGACATTAGTTTCACTAATTCCACCAAAGATGTTTTTCCTTTGCCAAAAGTCTTCCCTATAAAGCCTGTTGTTATGCATGCAATTTTGTTTGCTTTCTGGGTTTTCTAATTTTAAAAAGCACAGATCTAGGCATGATTATTCATGTTTGGGAAAATAGTTCCCAGTAATTCTGGCTTAAAGAGAAGCTAGTATGGTAATTTACTCTAGTCTACAGTCCCAAAGATGATCTTTCTGGCTTTGCTTCTCTCTCCCGCAGCAACCATCCACTTTGGGTTACGCCAGACAAATTATTAAGAAGGAAGGCCTGGGACTCAGGGGCCTCAACAAAGGACTTACAGCAACTTTGGGACGTCATGGAGCTTTCAACATGGTTTATTTTGGCTTCTACCACAATGTCAAAAACATTATTCCTGTCAATAAGGTAGATATTTAATAGATCAAAATCCTGGGGGGAGTCTTATCAATAATAATAGCTTCCTTTGAAGGGTGTTTATCATGGTCCAGGCACTTTACAGAACAGTTACAACCACTGTCTAATTTGATCATCATGCCAGTCTTATGTATTGAGTGTTTTCAGCTCTCTTTTGAATCTAGAAATTGAGGCTTAGGAAGATCAGGTACATTGGCCAGGATTGCACAGTAAATAGTAAAACAGAGGCTTAAATCCAGGTCTGATGCAAAAATTTATCTTCCTGAAGAATATACCATTACATATGAATGCTTGCCATTCAGTATATCCATGACCTAATATAATATCATTTGTTTGTGGTAAGACCACAATTTCTAGAAGCTATATTATTAGCCAATTTTTACCTCACTCACATCACTTTCTCAACAAAGATGAAATTTTCATATTCTAAATAGATTTTGAGTTCATGAAATAAAATGTCAGCCTAAATTTTAAATTTTGTATAGATATTAATTTTTAAATTATACAAGTTAGTTAAGGTAAGTAATAAATCAAGTCTTCTAGGATCATCTTCTTTTGATGCAGGGGGTGAATTTAACTATGATATATTGTAAGAAATTTTGCAAATGTCACAGTGTACCTCCAGTACATCAATAATATGATAATAAAAAATCAGGACTCTATATCTCTTCTTTGAAATATGAGTGACTAAGAGGAAAATTTATAGCTATCGGTGCCTGCATTAAAAAATCAGAGAGGGTTGGGTGCCGGTGGCTCATGCCTATAATCCTATCTACTCAGGAGGCGATGAGATCAGGAAGATCATGGTTCATAGCTAGCCTGGGCAAATAATTCATGAGACCCTATCTGGAAAATAGCTGACACAAAACAGGGCTGGTAGAGTGGCTCATGCCTAGCAAGCATGAGGCCCTAAGTTTAAACCCCAGTACCTATCAAAAAAAAAAAATCAGAGAGGACTTAAATACAATGTCTTAGAAAAACAAGAATGACTAAAAATTAATAGATGAAAAAAAATCCTAAAGATCAAGGTGGGGAATAAATGAAACGGAGACTAAAAGAACAGTACAAATAATCAATGAAGCGAAGAGTTAATTCCTTGAAAAGATAGATAAGATCGACAAACCCTTAGGGAAATCAATAAAATTAGAAAGGAAAATGGGGGATATTCCAACAGATACCAAAGAAATCTAAAGGATCATTAAGGAATATTTTGAAAACTTTTATTCCAATAAATTGGAAAATCTAGAAGAAATGGATAAATTTCTAAACACATATAACCTACCAGAATTGAATATAAACAAAGAACATATAAACAATTTAAACTGATCTATAATGAGCATCAAGATTGAAGCAGCAATAAAGACTCTACCAATAAAGAAAAGCCCATGACCAGACAGAGTCACTGCTAGATTCTAACAAACCTTTCAGGAAGAGCTTTCAGTATTCCTCAAACTATTCCATAAAATTGAAAGGGAAGGAATGCTACCAAACTGATTCTATAAAGCCAGTATTACCCTAATAGCCAAACCAGATGATGACACAACAAACAAAAACAGAAAAGACCAATTTCCTTCACTAATATTTTTTGTATCCAAAATTTCTCAATAAAATACAGTTTGTAATTCAATGCCACATAGAAAAACTCGTATACCATAATCAAGTTGGTTTCATTCTAGGGATACAAGAATGGTTCAACATATATAAATCAATAAAGTTAATACAGCACATAAATAGAATCAGGGACAAAAATCACATGATCTTCTCAATATATGCAGAAAAGCCTTTGACAAAATTCAACATATCTTCATGATAAAAGAAATTAGGAATAGAAGGAACATATCTTAACATTAAAAAGTCTATACATGACAAACCTATAACCAGCATTGTACTTAATGGGAGGAAAACTGAAAAGTATTTCGTCTAAAAGCAAGAATGAGACAAGGGTGTCTACCCTTTCCACTCTAATTCAATATAGTACTTGAATTCTTAGACAGAACAATAAGACAAGGGAAAGAAACAAAGAGGTACAAATAGGAGAGGAAGAAGTTGAATTGTCCCTATTTGAAAATGATTTCATCCCATACTTATAAGACCTTAAAGACTCCACCAAAAAAATAAATAAGTAAACAACTCTTAGATCTGATAAGCACTTTTAAGAAAATAGCATGCTATAAAATCAATACACAAAAATCAGTAGCTTGGGCAGGTAGAGTGCCTGCCTAACTGAGTTCAAACTCTAATACTGCAAAAAAAAAAAGAAGAAAGAAAAATCAGTAGCTTTTCAATATACCAATACTAAACATGCTGAGAAAGAAAATAGGAAAACATTTCTTCTCAAAAAAAAAAAAAGCCTCAAAAGATAAATAAATAAAATACCTAGGAATAGACCAAACCAAGAAAGTGAAGGATATCTACAAAGAAAATTATAAAACACTGAAGAAAGAAATTGAAGAGGACACTAGAAGATGAAAAGACTTCCCATGTTCATGGATTTGCAGAATTAATATAAAGTGCCCATATGACCAAAGGTGATCTACAGATTCAATGCAATCTCCACCAAAATTAGTATGACCTTCTTCACAGAAACAGAATCCTAAAATCATGTGGAAGCACAAAAGACCCCAAATTTCAAAGCAATCCTGAGCAAAAAGAACAATGCTCAAGGTACCAAAATCTCTGACTTCAAATTATACCACAGAGTCACAAAAACAGACATGTACCTAATGGAATAGAATGGAGAAGTCAGAAATTAACCCATGCAGCAGCAGGCATCAGATTCTCAACAAAGGAGCCACAAACATACCTTGCACTAAAGACCACCTCTTCAACAAATGGTGCTGGGAAAACTGGATATCCACATGTAGAAGACTGAGACTAGATCTTTATCTCTCATCCTGTATAAAAATCAATTCAAAATGGATTAAAGACCTTAATGTTAAACCTGAAACTTTTAACCTACTATGGGAAAACACTTGAAGATACAGGCGGAGGCGATGACTTTCTGAATGGGACTCTGTTATATCTCAGGAGAAAATAGGAAGAATTGAAAAATGGGATTACATCAAATTTAAAAGTTTCTGTATAGTAAAAGAAACAACAGAATCAAAAGACAGCCTAAAAAATGGGAGAAAATATTTGCCAGATAGTAATCTGACAAGGGATAAATATCCAGAATATGTAAAAATCTCAAAAAATTAAGCATCAAAAGAATAAATAGTCCTATGAACAAGTGGGCAAATGGATTAAACAAGCACTTCCTAAAAGAAGTACAAATGTCCCACAAATACATGAAAAAATGTTCATTGTCCTTAGCTATCAAGGAAATGCATGTCAAACTACACTGAGATTCCATCTCACCCCAATCAGAAAGGCTACCATTGAAAAAACAAACAACACATGATGTCAAAAATGCAGGGGGAAAAAAGAACTCACATACACTGCTGATGGGAATGTAAATTAGCACAGCCACTATGGAAATTAGTATAGAGGTTCCTCAAAAAACTGAAAATGGAACTGCCACATGATCTTCCTCTACCACTCCTGGGCAGGAATCCAAAGCAATGTAAGTCATCATACAATTGAGACACTGCATTCCCATGTTCATTGTGGCATTATTCACAATAGCCAAATTATGGAATCAAATGTCCTTCAGCCGATGAATAGATAAAGAAAATGTAGTATATATAGACAATGGAGTATTTTTCAGCTATAAAGAAGAATGAAATTCTATCATTTGCAGGAAAATGGATGGAATTGGAGCTCACCATGTTAAGCAAGATAAACCTGACTCAGGAAGACAAATATATCACAGGCTTTCTCTCATATGCAGAATCTAGCTCTGGAAAACAAAAACAAAGACATGAATGTAAATGAGGACTATGGGAGGGAAACGACAGTAGGGGAAGGGCACAAGAAAGGGTATAGTGGTGAATATGATCAAAGCATATTGTATGCATGTATGAAAATGTCAGAATGAAGCCCATTATTTTGTACAATAAATAAAAATGAAGTGTTAAAACTCAGTGGGTAAAAAAAAAAAGAAAAAGAAATACGTATATCCCTCCCAGCGTATCAACAGTTGCACTGGTTCCTACCATTCTCCATTCCCATTTATTTTTTTAAGACATGCAAGAATGTAAGTTTTTTACTTTTCTTTTACTTTCAAAGATTAAAACAGTGTCTGGTGCATATTAGACCCTTGGTAAATGCATATTAAATAAATTGGAAGAAGGAAGAGAGGGAGGGATGAAGAGATGAATTTTTTATTCTTTTTACTAGATACTAAAAGAATATGTTAGCATTTGGAGAGTTACTCATTAGCTGATACTAGGAAGCTGGAAGAGAGCTTCTGGCTGAACGACTTAGAGCTAGAGTGGGCCAGACCATAATCAAACAGAATTCTGGCGGGGGGGGGGGCAGAATTAGGCATTCAAGGCCATATGTAACATAATAGGGTCTTTATATTCAGAAAGCAAAATGGTTGTTTTTGGAAATAATTCTAAAAATGGAGGCTTCACATTGCCAAGGTAAGTTTCCCCAAGTTACCTCAGTAGATTGCCAGAACAGACACGTTTACTGGCAATACCTAAAATCCTGGTGACATCAACAGTGTAGACAAGATGCCACTGTGCAGGAAGTCTCTATAGAATAGAGCAGAAAGGGTGTGGAGTGAATGGTCCTTCCCATGGTTCATTATGTCCAGTATCTATCCAATGTTTTCTAATTATATTCAATGAAACACCAGCCAGCATTTTTCCAAATGATTTTTCTGTTACCATTTCCCACATCTAGATTGTACTAGCAAATAAATGCTTTGTTTATTAATCAGGACACTGAAGATTACCTAAGTATCTTCCAAATCTTTAAATAAGAGATACATTTGTTCAGTAGAGTTTTAGAATATATTTGAAGCAAAGTCTTACTCCAGAGTGCAGTCTGTCCTCAAATTTGCTATGTAGCTCATGATGGCTTTAAACTTTTGATCCTCCTGC